TCCCTCAAACTACTTTATGTTTAAAAATGTTATCTTGAAGACCATTAATTCAGAGATTGCTACCCTGTCTTAGAGAACACCTTTTGATATGGGAAATTTCGTTTTATAAAGGCAATTATTGAGAGATGTTCTGTCTTTTTCTGTCTTTTCAGAGGAGCACATCTTTCCTGAATATTCCATTACCAATTTTTTACAAAGTTCATAGAAGAAAAATTATACCAATTATTCAGAAACTTCAAACTTAACTATTTCTTAGACTCCTAAAATATTGGATATAGTCATACATAGCAAAAAGACCTGCCAGTACTTTCTAATGCAGAATTAAACAGAACTGAGATTTACTTTGATTTAATATATTTTTCAGAGTTATAATCCATAACATTGCAAATGCCCTATACAGGAAAAGTAAAACAGAGAAATTAATAATTTTATCATCTATGAAGCATATATTTGTTACTTTTTTCTTTAAAAGAAACATTACAAAATAATAGTTACTGTTATCAAGGTTAAATGTAGTGGTGATAAATCTTCAGTTCTTAAATCTTGCTTGTGGTATGATTTTTACTGTTTTCTGTATTTTCTATCATAAATAAAGACAAATTCTTGTTGTTTTAGGTAAGAATTTAATGGATGTGSTGTGAACAAAGTGGATGAAATGTTGAGTTTTCAGATTTAGAGAGATTTAATTTTGAGATGTAAGATATTGGCAGTATCTCATACCCTACACCTATTGAACACATAATGAAGACAAATTGGTTTTGATTTTTMTTCTTTTCCCCCAATATTAGTTATCAGTTTGCACTTTGARGTATCAAATTGAAGATACAAGCTACCACTATAATAATTTCATGTTGGAGGGCAGAAAGAGGAGCCAGTTCTTCTCAGTTTCTCCAAGGTTCCAGACTGATTTTCTGATCACTGATTTTCTCTACATCTAAAATCTTGGACTGACTGAAAGCAGTGAGAAAACAAGAGTTTCAGACAATCTAAAAAATAAGGTTTACTGGCTTCTGTGACATAATGGTAGAATCAGTACCTGGATCTCACTCTCCAGGAAGCAAAGAAAAGTGAAAGAGAGAGGCTGACCTCCCTAAGGAACCTGGAGAATGAGATTTTAGTTGCTGCCAAATGCAAGCATTTCGAGTTCATGAGTGAGGCAGCAAAACCCTGAAGATAGATAGATAGATAGATAGATAGATAGATAGATAGATAGATAGATAGATAGATAGATAGATAGATATAGATAGATAGATAGATAGATAGATAGATAGATAGATAGATAGATAGATAGATAGATGAAAAAGAAGTAAGTATCCCTGATACCTAAATAAGTAAAAAATCTATGTCAAATATATTTTGTTTCCTTCCATTTACCGGACTGCCAGGGAGCATTAGAATCACGTTTCTAAACTTTGTGAACAAGAGGAGCTTTATTTATTTATTTATGTCTGTTAATATTAATTTCTACTGAAACCTGACCTTCTCACCCAGACTCTTGAATCCAGCAGGTGTCATATTAAGACACACAAAAGAACAATGCTCATCATCAAATTTCAAAATCATCCAGATCCAGGATACTTGGATGGGTCTGCCAGACTAATCAATCAGGCAGCGGAATAGAAAGAATAGTGTTAGCCAAGAGCTAAAGTGTTGATAGGCTAGTATAAACTAGAAGACAAGGGATATTCTGAAATAATAGGTGAGCTCCTATCAGTGTAGGGGAAGAGCAATCATCTGGCCAGCTTTCCCAGCCCTTCCTTTAAAACAGGAAAAAGAGATTTGAACTTAGCTGTTTGAAATTTAATGTTTTTAAGCTGAAACTAGATCAAATAAGAAAGCAGATCAGGAAGAGGAGAGGCAAGGGTCAAGAAATACACAAATCAGACTCAGCTGAATCACTCAGTAAGCCTGGGCTGTCAGTACTGTGTAAGACACAAATGCAGATTTCTGTTGGTAGCTTCGGATAATCAACAACAATCTGCCCAGGTGTGAAAAAGCTTGTATTTTAAATCCATGTCTCAAGCAAGCTAATACTATTTTTTTACATTTGTCTCAGAATTAGAAGACAACCCAGTGTTCATACAGGAGGGCCACCTTTTAGGGGAGATGAAAAAGAACTGAGAAAAACTTAGCTCCAAAGTGAAGGCCTTATCATAAAGCAGAAACTTGTTTCATTCTTGAAAGGCAACAAGAAACCAACAAATAGGTAGCTTTTCTCAGATTGTTTTCACAGATAAAAGTTCAGAGAAAACCTGTGGAAATTTATATTCTCAGAAAGAAAGTAATCTGGAGCTGTTCTGGAAAAAATTAGATTTGATTATGTGGCTATCATAGCTGTGGCAAATCAGACTCCTTCAATGATGGTACACTGACCCGGACCTGAAATCCATGTTTCTGTGGAGTGGATGGATATAGGTTGTAATAAACCAGATCTCTTCTGAACATTCAGTGAAGCAGAAGGCGTAAGAAGTAA